AGTTTCTTATTTCTTTTTATTGCCAACTCTAGCTTTCGTAGCCCTTCTACAGGAGTACAAATATACAATAATACCACCTGTAGAAGGGCTACGAAAGCTAGATTTGACAATTAAAAGATATAAGAAACTCATCTCCGGAAACTTATTGACTTTTTAATTGATATTTATTTATAAATATATATGTGTATGTTTTATTTTGTTAATTTGTTTTCCCTTTATTAGTATTTTTTGTTATCTACAAATTGCTAAATACAATTATTGGAATCTTTGATAAGAGAATTTACTGTACTTATAATCAATAGTTAATGATTGATTTTATTAAAAATTCGTTTCAACATTAAATAATATTTAAAAAGTAAGTGAAGTACTTCTGAATTGTGGTGAAATTTGACACATCAATTTTCCGAATTCTTTTCTAATAAATAATATAAAATAGATTGAGAAACAAAAAGTCGGTGGATGAGAGGGTAACACGCTCGATTCCCGACAGTCATGAACCGGAATTGAATCCCGTGTTAAATATTGTTTAATATGTGAATAACCTTCTAATATTATTCATTGTTCAATTATCATGAACTAGGTTGCTCTTGCTGAGCGGTACCTATTTATGTGAATTTGAACCAGAACCAGATTGAGAAACTCTCTATGGCGAACTTGAAAACAAAAGATAATAACAAACATTTTCTTGGACAATGAGAAAATATAACAAAATTGAAATTGTGCTAAGATCAGGTGGATAAATTAAGAAAGATATCAATCCTTATGCCATCTCACGCACCTATGATTTTATGTATAAATTTCTTAAATTTTCAGAAACATCTTGGTCCATCTTTACGGTCGTTGACGAGTTCAATAGCTATAACGTGTAGGCGATTGGCTTTTCTTCATAAATAAAGAGAGGGTATATTAAGCTAATATCCGGCAATAGTTCAAAATCAACGGCTAGTTGATATTTATTCCGAAAGATGGAGCAAGCCATCAGCGCTTTTTAGTCGCATGATATAATAAGATGCGTTTTCTTAACTTCAATGGATGTTATTCAGAACTAATCTCTCTATAGCGTGGAACTCTACGAGTTAATTACATATTTCGGTCTCTTTACTTTTTATTGGGACAGCTTCTATTATATCTGTAACTTAATATTCAAAACGTGTATCAATACAACAATGAATATTATACCAGAGTAAAACGATGAATGTTATATACCAATACAACAATAAAAGTTTTTTAAATACGTTAATGAAAGTTTTAACCCGGTACAACAATGAAATTTATGACCAGTACAACAATGAAGGCTATACCAGTACAACAATGAAGGCTATACCAGTACAACAATGGAAATTATACAAGTACAACGATTATAGTTATACCAGTACAACAACAAAAGTTATACCAGTACAACCATAAAGGTTATACCAGTATAACAATGCATTGTCCGTCAGTACAACAATGAGAGGTTTATCAGTACAACAATGGAAATTATACCAGTACAACAATGAAAGGGTTTTCAGTACAACAATGAAAGCTGTACCAGTACAACAATGAAAGCTGTACCAGTACAACAATGAGAGCTATGCCAGTACAACAATGAAGGTTATACCAGTACAACGATAAAGGTTATACCAGTTCAACAATTAAAATCATACCAGTACAACAATAAAGGTTATACCAGTATAACAATGAATGGTCCGTCAGAACAATAATGAAAGATTTATCAGTACAACAATGAAAATTATACCAGTACAACAGTGAAAGGGTTTTCAGTACAACAATTAAAGATGTACCGGTACAACAATGAAGGTTATACCAGTACAACAATAAAGGTTATACCAGTACAACAATAAAGGTTATACCAGTATAACAATGAATGGTCCGTCAGTACAATAATGAAAGGTTTATCAGTACAACAATGAAATTTATACCAGTACAACAATAAAGGTTATACCAGTACAACAATAAAGGTTATACCAGTATAACAATGAATGGTCCGTCAGTACAATAATGAAAGGTTTATCAGTACAACAATGAAATTTATACCAGTACAACAGTGAAAGGGTTTTCAGTACAACAATTAAAGCTGTACCAGTACAACAATGAAGGTTATACCAGTACAACAATGAATGGTCCGTCAGTACAACAATGAAAATTATACCAGTACAACAATCAAAGGATTTTCAGTACAACAATGAAAGCTGTATCAGCACAACAATGAAAGTTAAACCAGTAAAACAATAAAAGCTATACCAACACAATAATTAAAGTTATACCAGTACAACAATGAACGGTTCGTCAATGGTGATAGTTATACCAGTACAACAATGAAAGTTAAACCAGTAATAACATTAAAAGCTATACCAACACAACAATGATAGTTATACCAGTACAACAATGAAGAGTTTTCAGTACAACAATGAAGATTATACCAGTAAAACAATGAGAGTTTTCAGTAAAACAATGAAGATTATACCAGTACAACAATGTAAGTTGTCGTATAAGATTCATATCACCTTAGCGTGACTTCGAACTTTCTGTAATCAGGTCGCTTATCCCAAATAACTTAAAATATTAAAGCTAAATAGTATATCGCCAAAAAATGATATTAAATAAGTCCTCTTTGAGAAATTTGACAACAGAAATTCGATACCTGAAAAAAAAAAACATTTAAAAAGATTTACAAATACTCGATTTAAAGTGGAAAGAAGTGTGTGTTTAGTAGAAAATAAAATAGACAGAACCAATTTATCCTGTAATGTATTTGTTTTATTCTCTTTTATATAAAAAATAAAAACATATCGCCGAAATAAAATGCCTCTGTGTATTCATGTAAATTGTAGTCCAAGGCGTATATTAGTGTAATCCCACTGATGAATCAAGTTCTATATCTATTATTAATTTGTTTAGTGATTCAAATAATGAGGAATTAAAGACAGATCCTTGCTCTTTCAGAAGTGGTGAATGACTGAACATAAAGCCGCTAAGCTAGAAAGACTATGGTAATAGTATACAGTAAACTATCTTAAGGATAAACGGCAGTGAAGCGATTACTGAAGTTGCAATTTGAAGAAGAAAGAAAAGAGATTTTGGCAAGTCGCTGAATAAGAAAGTGCCGCTGGTGCCGTGGTATTGAGAAAGGAAGCATCTGAAGAGGATTCGAAGCCTGGTCGTGCCGGTCGGAAGTCAACAGCTTATACCACTGCTCCACTAAGCAGCATCTGAAGAGGAACGGGACTACACAGTCGAAGTACAGCAGTGTGATAACAAGGAGATCTCAAGAAGGCATTGATAAAAGTGTCGCTGAGTGAATATTCCGTTTGATAGAATGGTGCCAGGTATCAGTTCTCTCAGATCGACGGATGCTGAAAAGTGGCCTGAAGTGTGATTGGTGGAAGACAAGACTCACTGACCTAATAGTCCAGGACTGAGAGAATGATCTCTGCGGAGCATTGAGAGTCGATTGGAGGGATTTTCCCGAGTGTGGCCAAGTGGATTTGCCTGAAAGAGCTGGAACATCGACATGAAGTATTTATTTGACAGCAGATTAGAGGCAAGTCCCATTTATTATACTTAACCTATTCAGTACTACTTCATTAAAATGAAAACTCTGCATTTCTTTGCCAAATCACGCGTTGTTATTGAAGAACCTTGTACGCAGACAAATACAGCTGAAGAGACAGCTCTTCGGCCGTATTTGTCGGTAACGGTAGCACATGGTGTTCATGTTCCTGATGTCAGAGGCAGCCATTTCATATTGAAGCTAAGTCGGCCTGACACTGAGTAGTGCTCCCAATCTTAATGACAAAGGCAGACGCATTCAACTTCGCCCAGTCAAGATGGTTAACAAAACCCTAATATGATTAAGTTGAGATTAAAAAAAGAATAAGGAGAATTCTATATATTCTAATGACGTTGTAAAAAAGACTAAGCATTTCAATATTGAAATATATTTGAAGAAAATATCTTATTTAAAATATTAAAAATATTTTCAAAAATTATGTGTTTCAAAAATATATTTAAATGCATATAGCAATATTTGTATATTTACAGTGGACCCTCGGTTTACGAGCACCTTGGAGTACGAGCTTTTCGCAGTACGAGCAAAATTTTTTGAAAAATTTTACCTCGGATTACGAGTGAAATTTCGCATTACGAGCAACTCGTGATGGTTGCCCGTAATCGTGATGGATGAAAATTCACTGGGATTCCTCCCGTCAGATCAGATTCGGGATATATGCAAAATGTGGGAAACTGTGCAATTGTTCGTAGCAAGAAGAATTGCCCGAGTTTCAATTATTAAAAATAAGAAATTAGTTTCGCACTACGAGCGTTTTGGAGTACGAGCATGGCTCTGGAACGGATTATGCTCGCAAACCGAGGGTCCACTGTTTATAAATTTATAAATCTATATATAGGGGGATTGGATGTTTTCTAGAATCGTTTTAACAAATATTCGTTAGGCAAACTTTTACCCGGGTAAAAACTGGGCGAAGCCGGGTACATTCGCTAAATACAGTTATTTACAAATGTTCGTTTGTGGCAAGATACTATTCCTTCAACTTCAAATTACCGAGTGGACCAATTAATATTGATTTTATTCAACTTATCGAGTATTTTCAAGGGACCGGGAATATTTTCAAATTATCGAGAGTATAGACCAGTAAAGATTCAGTAGGGATTGGATGTTTGCTAGAATCGTTTTAACAAATGTTCGTTAGGCAAACTTTTACTCGGGTAAAAACCGGGCGAAGCCGGGAACATATATATATATATACATTATAAAGGACTGCGGCGTATGATTATAAAGTAATACTTAAAGCCTCCCCGCATAAATTTCTTTTTTGTGAAAATCAATATTAATCTCAAAGAGAAATATGTACTATTTCTAACTTTTTGGATGGCGTATGAAAAGGTTGAATATATGAAGGGTAATGGTCTATATATGATTAGATGACGTATGAAAGGGTGAAAATGTGAAGAGTAATGGCGAACGGAAAAATAAAAGTGTCCAAAAGCGGGAATCGAACCCACAACCTTCTGCTTACCGGGCAGGTGCCATGTCCACTAGGCTACCCTGGACGTATTTTTCCGTTCGTAACTAATACTTAAAGTAACTTTTTTATATACATTATAAAGGATTGCGGCGTATGATTATAAAATAATAATTTTTTCGTTCGCCATTACTCTTCACATTTTCACCCTTTCATACGTCATCTAATCATATATAGACCATTACTCTTCATATATTCAACCTTTTCATACGCCATCCAAAAAGTTAGAAATAGTACATATTTCTCTTTGAGATTAATATTGATTTTCACAAAAAAGAAATTTATGCGGGGAGGCTTTAAGTATTACTTTATATATATATATATATATTTTTATTTATTTAATTAAAAAGGCATATATTGGATCAGAAAATAATTTATTTTACCAATATTTCAGCTGGCTGAACGCCAACCTTTATCAAGGTGTTATAACATTTTAAAGTGTCTCAACAACAAACTCAGCGCCACATAACGTCAACAGCATTAAGTTTTTTAAAAATATTTTGTTATATTCAATGGGAAGAAAAATTTAATAAATATATTTATATTATGAACAAAATAAATTTTGTAAAATATGGGTGTGGATATTTTGAAAATTAACAATAGCGCCTATTTTATATTTTAAAATTATTTGTACTATGTGTAAAAGGATTTTTCGTATAAAAATAAATAAAATAACAATATATATATAAAAGAAATGTTAAACTAAAATTTTTACTGAAAACACAAAGCGTAAAAAAATGTTTGAAAAGTTGGTTGAAATAAAATTTTAAAAAATTTAAATGTAAAATTGTGAAATTCGAAATAAAATATAAGTGAAAATGGGAAAATATTTTTAAAAAATGATATCACACAAATGAAACATTGAAGACATTGAACTATCAATATATATATATATATATAATAATATACTACATATATATAAAATAAGCGTGTGATTGTATTTGAAATAAACTTAAACGATGTTGCATAAATTACATTGTATTTTGTAAATTACATTGTTTTTGTTTTCTAATTTGCTAATTTGTTTGGTGTCTGGGTGGCGTAGGAATTTTTTCAAATTGAAAGAAGATTTATATGTACCAATTATATTGTTTCTCTTTAAGACTCTGGCAATTCGTTCAGAGCCGTAGCTGTAAGGGAGGGTGCAATAAAACCTTTTTGATTGATCAGAGCTGTTATTTGATTGTAAAAATTTAGGTTTATATAGGTGTTTTTTAATAAATTTATCTGGGTAATCATTGTTTTTTAGGTCTTTAAAAATTATATTTCTCTCTATATTTTCATCATTTTTCATTGAGCAATGTGTTGTTAATCTTTTAGAGAGAGTATTTACAACTGAAATATTGTGATGGACTGAGCCGAAAGAATTGAAATTTAGGTAGTTTCCAGTGTGTGAAGACTTTCTATAAATACTAGTTTCGATTTTATTTTGTTTTTTTCTTAATTTGAATATCTAAAAATGCCAGAGAATTGTTTTTTTCAATTTCGTGTGTGAATTTTAAAAATGGTGTCAGATTATTCAAAATATTTAGAAATATTGAAATTTCTGATTCAGTTATACAAAAAATGTCATCTATATATCTTTGCCATGAAATTATTTTTAAATGTTTTGATTCTGTAACAATTTGATCAATTTGATTCATGAAGATATTTGCCAAAGCCGAAGATATAGGGTTGCCAATCGGTAGGCCTTTTTAACATATATATATATGTCATATTATATGCTCTTCCAGGAATAATAAAGTAAATCTGCAGTCGACCAGAGAGAGACGTAGTCGATAGAACGCAGCTAAAGTACGGACATTTGTGACACCAACGGTCACATTCCAAAGGGGCGGAAAAAGGGGGGCGCCCGTCGACACCTGGGGACAGTAGTCGCGGGGTGACCACACAAGCAGTCATTCAGCGGACAGCACTCTAGCTACCTCTCTCTCTCGGATGGCTTCCAGATTCCTCTTCCAACTCGTCGTGTGATTATTTCTCACCTCACCACATCATTACCACTATATTGTCACATATATATAGGTTTGTCGGCTATGCACGCCTTCAATATGTAACTAATCTCTCTGAAATTTGAACAGGACAGAGAGTTAAATCTGGAAGAGCTTTTGTCGCACATTTAACCAAGAAAAATTGTAATTAACCAAGTACTGAGCAACAATATTTTTTTAGTCAGAAATGATTATAAAATATTGCTGTATCATGCTTGATTGACATAAACAAAATTCTTTAGGGGAATATTCACTAAAGCAGACCACGGGCGAAGCCAGATAATCTTTTTTTAGTAGGCAGGAACAAAATTCTACCGGCGAAACATTCACTCGAACAGAGAGCACACGAAGCCAGGTCATCTCTATATATAAAATATCGTTTCTCGGCCTTTTGGCTATGATCATGTAGTATATCTCTAGATATTTTTATTTATATATATCTTTCTAAAATTCTATTAGTAGAGAGAGTAGATATGTTTGCTAGAGAAAAATATATTTTATATATTGTATAAATATATAATGTAACGAATATTATTATCATTATTATCATAATATTCTCTGTGTTCCGGAATATTATTATCAATAATATTCGTTAGTCAAACTTTCACTCGGATAAAACCCGGGCGAAGCCGGGTACACATCCGCTAGTTCTATATATGTATGAGCAACGTGTTCTTGGTATAAAAGCTACGTCAACGTTTGAAGTGTTGTCTGCGATGATAAAAAAGGGCAGTGACCGAGTGGTAAAGTTATATATATATATAATATTGAATATAAAATTGAATAATAACACTTTTTAATAGAGATAGGGAAATGGTTGCTTATCACGTGCTAATAAGGGGACAGGCTGCTGCGCCCGCGGACTTTATTGCAACCGTCGAATTTTCCGAGAGAAGTTCCTCGTGGAACTTTCAAAGTGAAAAATAGGAAAAAGGATATTTTATAAAATTTATATACAAACATTTATTCAATATATGTACAATTGATTTATGATTCGAAATCAAATTTTACAAGTTTATAAAACGGTTATATTAAAATGTACAACTGATAAAAAGTAAAAGCATGGTATTTTAAAGATTAAAAAAATGCGCGCGTTTCTATTTGATTATAATATAAAAACATTGATTTTAAATAAGCATTATGCTAATTTTGACATATATAAACATGTTAAGGATACGTCAAACTGTTTTGGCGCATGAACTTTTGTATATTTCACTCAAATAATCAAATCTAATTATATATTTTCGGCTACATGAACTCAGTAGATTTTGTTTAAATATATACGAATAAAATATTACATTCAAAGAAGCTCCTCATGTAATCTTTTATTCGTATATAATTATATTAAAAATAAAGAAGGCATCTCCTGACCACGAGCACATGTGCTTTTTAGATGGCAGAGAGCCATCTAGTGGAGCAAAAATAAACTAATTGTTCTATTGTTTTTTCATATAATTATATATTTATTATGCTTTGAAGATATAAAGACCTTTAATAAAAAATCTCATTTTAAGATATTTCCAATTTTAATAAATATATTTTACCTTGAAAAACATAATTTTTAAAATGTCTGTTCTTTAGGAAAATACAAGTTTCCCATACCCAGATGTTTGGAAAGAGTAACAACCCTTTGAGTCAGCAAGCAAAGCCGTTAAAAAGGCCCTGCGATACCCAGGGCAGGCACGTGCGGCTGTTTGCTCGGGTTAAGCCGCCTCCTTCCTTCCAGTAATCCTGGGTCCTGGACAAACAACGCCCGGGGCTTTGTTTCCACCTCAGCTGTGGTGTGTGCATGTGTATAGCTCCTCGAGTAGCGGGCGTGGGTCCCATCATGTAACTTGGGTGTGATTCCTCCATTCCCGTGGGCCCTCTTCCTTATCCTCAAGTAACGCCAATGTAATTTCAAAAGTAATGTTGTGTTGCCTCTTAGGTAACGCGCGTTGTGCCTCTACGGGTTAGGTTTCTTCTTAATTTACGTATATTTGCCTACGAAAGTTACGTACGTACGTTTACCTCTCCAAATTGGGTACGTGTGGTTTCCCGGCGTGTGTATCTCCCCAAGTTGGGTATGTGTGGTTTCCCGAAGCGTGCATCTCCCCAAGTTGGGTACGTGTAGTTTCCCGGCGCGTGCATCTCCCCATATTGGGTACGTGTAGTTTCCCGGCGCGTGCATCTCCCCAAGTTGGGTACGTGTGGTTTCCCGGCGCGTGCATCATCCAAGTTGGGCACGTGTGGTTTCCCGGCGTGTGTATCTCCCCAAGTTGGGTATGTGTGGTTTCCCGAAGCGTGCATCTCCCCAAGTTGGGTACGTGTAGTTTCCCGGCGCGTGCATCTCCCCATATTGGGTACGTGTAGTTTCCCGGCGCGTGCATCTCCCCAAGTTGGGTACGTGTGGTTTCCCAGCGCGTGCATCTCCCCTAGTTGGGTACGTGTAGTTTCCCGGCGCGTGCATCTTCCCAAGTTGGGTACGTGTAGCTTCCCGGCGCGTGCATCTCCCCAAGCTGGGTATGTGTGACTTCCCGGTCGTGTACTTCCCAAACAGGGTACGTGTGCCTTTCCAGTGCGTGCGACTCTTTAAACAAACTAAATGTACCTTCCAAGAGACATGCGTGTGCCTCCACGAAGCTTTCGTAACTCCCCGAGGAATGGGGGGAAGTCTCCTAGACTTAAATATATTTTTATATTGCTCTCAATATATTGCTTTATATATATATGTGATGATGAAGTGTTGACTCTCGCTATACTGTGTTGATCGAGAGGAACAGTCAGGATGGGGAGTTTTCCAGTACCTCTCTGCACCTTGGAAGACCTTTTACAGTTCTCACAAAGTACAGGCAGTCGTGGTCGAGGCAGAGTGGAAAGCTTGGGAATGTCCACACAAAAAACGAAGACACAGTTGCACTAAGAAAGTTCCGTGAACAGATAAAAGTTGAGCTAGGAGCGAAAGATGGAGAGATAGAAAATTTCTTACTGGTCTACATGATGGATGAGATGGACCTGAGGTACAACCGACGAGGGCTGACGCAGATGGTGAACTAAC